GTCCTAGGAAAACACCAAAAGCCATTCTTCAGATGGCTCACAAATGAAGCAGAACAAGAAATCAATAATGGGGAAAACATAGTATAAAAGGACTGTGGTGGTAAATGTTTAAATCAATCAAACATATGGATATAAATGGAAATAATTGCTGTTAAAGTGCTTTAAAATATTTTGGGAAAGACTCAGTAAAATATGGGAAAATACGTATAAGAAAAATGGAATAATTGAATAAGAACTGTCTGAATCATATTCCTAGCCTAGAATAAAACAGACAAGGGAGAGGGAAGAGGGCCCGATGAACAGGGCAAGGAAAGTTGTGCTAAGTTCCTGGTTGAGTGTAAGGGGAGTCCAATTGGATAATTTGAAAAATAAGGGCTAATATAGTTATCCGATCAACTTAAAAGGCAACTATTTGTACCTTTGAGAGCAAGATTTTTCTGTGTCAAATTCCTACAAAAATAAAATCAAGCAAAATACAATTTACATAGCAAAATACCCCAAAAATCCACGAGGAAACAAAGAAATTGGAAATAATACAAATAAAATGACAAAGGTACAGCCAAGCATAACAGTCAGATTTGTTAACAAACAGATCCAGCTTATTAAAAGACACGCCTAAGAAATGATTCAGAAAGTTTAAAAAATAAAAGAATAGATATTAATAGAACATGAAACATAACAAGAAAACCAGTGGTTGTACATTAATATCATAGAAAGGAGAGTTCAAATTCAGAACCATTAAATGGAGTCAAAATAAGATTTTATATAAATCAAAGGCACATCTAAAGTAAAGGTACAGTAATCATGTATCTTATAAGCCAAATGGCATCATATCATATAAAGAAAACTAAGAGAAATACAAAGAGAAAATGAAATAAATGCATCGTAGTACAAAATGAGTTTTGTGTCTATCAGTCGGAGAGACAAAATAAGTCAGGATTTGAATAATATAATTTTGTATTAATGGAATATATATTCTTTTGTTAAAAATAGAGCTTACATAGGGGCGCCTGGGTGGCTCAGATGGTTAAGCGTCTGCCTTCGGCTCAGGTCATGATCCCAGCGTCCTGGGATCCAGCCCCGCGTCGGGCTCCCTGCTCCGCGGGGAGCCTGCTTCTCCTTCTCCCTCTACTGCTCCCCCTGCTTGTGCTCTCTCGCTCTCTATCAAATAAATAAATAAAATATTTTTAAAAAATAGAGCTTACATAGACCTTAACTACATACAATTTTTTTTTTGTCAGTTATACCTCAATAAGGGTGGAAAAAATAGAGGTTACATGAATGGATAAGCAAAATGTGGTATTACCCATACAACGGAAGATTATGCATCCTTAAGAAGCAATGAAATTCTGACACATGCTACAGCATGGATGGACCTTGAAAACATTATGCTAAGTTAAACAAGTCAGAAACAAAAGGACAAATATTTTATTTCACATGAGGTATCTAAAAATAGTCAAATTCATAGAGACAGAAAGTAGAATAGCGTTTCCTAGGGTCTTGGGAAAGGAGGGAATGAGCAGTTGGTGTTTAATGACTACAGAGTTGCAGTTTGAGAAGATAAAATATTTCAGGAGATGAATAGTGGTGATGGTTGCATGACAATGAGAACGTATTTAAACACAGCCATCAAAATCAATCTGCCGCGGGGCGCCTGGGTGGCTCAGTTGGTTAAGCGACTGCCTTCGGCTCGGGTCATTGTCCTGGAGTCCCGGGATGGAGTCCCACATCGGGCTCCCTGCTCAGCAGGAAGTCTGCTTCTCCCCCTGACCCTCTTCCCTCTTGTGCTCTCTGTCTCTCATTCTCTCCCTCTCAAATAAATAAATAAAATCTTTAAAAAAAAAAAAATCAATCTGCCAGTTATAGGTTCAAGACAGTGCTCTTCATGACTAGTGGGTTTTAAATAAAATCAAGACCTAGAAACCGTTGAGAAATTATTGAAAATGCATGTGACCAATATTTAATAAAACATGTGATATAGAAAGACTGTACTCAAAGGATTAGTACATTGGCTTTTATTATCAAACAAGAAAAATAAATATTAAAATATAAGCTTTCAAACTCATAACTTAGAGAAGGTTAAAAAGCAACAGTAATTAAAGCAAAAATTTATTTCAAAATGCATTTGAAAATAAAAACCCAGAAGTGTGTGAACTGGAAAACGACATAAGAAATAAGTTAAAATCAAAGAAGATATACCTAAAAGTGTTCTTTATTCAATAGGAGCATTTAATACTATAAACAGACACAAACTGAATATACCAACAACAGCTTCCCTGGGTACTAGGAATGATGGGTTACAAACATTACAGGAAAAGAAGCACTCAGAATAGCAACAAACAGTATTAAATATCTACAGACTCCCTTAACCAAAAATATGTGTCTTTCAGGAAGACAACTACAAAATTTTACTGAGAAGAGAAAGTCTTGAATAGACAGTCATTTTATGTTCAGAAATGGGAAAGGATACATTGACTATTATAAAGAATGAATTCTCTCTAAATCATCTGTAGTCTTAAGGTGACTGTAAACAAAATCCTAATAGCACTATTTTGGAACTTAATAAAATTAAGATCAGTTCATCTGGAAAAATAAGCAGGCATGAATACTTAAGAAAATCTTGAAAAGATAAATTAGGAGAGGAAACTTGTCCTACAGACATTAATAACTGGAACAGTGAAAATCCTACAGATCATTGGAACAAATAAAATATTCCTGAAACAGTGGTATTTATAAGAATTTATACGTAATAAAATGATAGGGAATGAATGATTTGGAAAAACAGGCTCTTGGAGAAAAAAATTGAATTACAACTTCACATTCATACCAAAATAAGTTTCAGAACAAACTCACCAAAAATAAAGCTAGAAAAACATAATTAAGCATTGAACTGAACTCTAGACAGAAATGATTGAGAGATTTGAGTACAGAGGAATATAAAAAATTCTGTGTAGTGGAAAACAAAGCAAACAAAGATCAAAAGCAATTTGAAGGCAGAGGAGTAATTAACACATTTATAAGTAAATGATAAAACCTTAACATCCCAACAACAACAAGAAAATGTTTGGCTTCCCCTGTAAACAATAATTTAGCATCATTTACCATTCAACATTTCTAAGAGGTCTTTTAAATACTCAACATTTATAAAGTCCATGAAAAGCATCCATGAACTTACGATAAGAGGATAAATCTGTACAGCGCTCATGAAGGGAATTCGTTCATATGGGCCGACCAATCAACAAAATTTTTCTAACTTTTAGCCCGGTGATTAACTCAACTTTTAGGAATTTATACCAAAGAATTGCCACATATGCACAAACATAAGAAACCCATTTAACTTTAATTTATAAACTTGCAGGCATATAGTTGAATAATAAAAAAAACCTTCAAATATTGACCTCAGCTTATACCTGTGTGTTTAAAATCTCATGTTATATAAACATGTTGATAAATGTTTTCTTTTCCACTCACATTTTTTCTTCTTCAGGTTCTTGACTCATTTTTCGATATCACTAGTGTCACTTTTGAACCACCGAACGTCATCTTCAGTCCCATCCAAATTATTGGACATACAGGCTTTTTTTTTTTTTAAGATTTTATTTGTCTATTTGGGAAATAGAAACAGCACAAGTATTGGGGAGAGGCGGAGGGAGAAGCAGACTCCTCACGGAAGGGGGAAGCCCAGCTAGGGGCTGATCCCAGGACCCTGAGATCATGACCTGAGTGGAAGGCAGACATTTATCCAGCTGAGCCACCCAGGTGCCCCCACACAGGCCTTTTGGAATCTGTGTGGAATGCTGTCTTGGGAATTTTACTGCAAGTCACAGATACTGATTCACATGATATTAGGGAAGTTAATCTCCTATGTCCTGTGGGGCTATCTTTTGGTCTCCATAATGAAACCACTTCTGTATCGCTTTTTATAGAGCTCTTTAATTAAAGAGACTTGTTTACAAGGACATCTAATACTTGAAATTATAAGCTCATACTTCCCAAGAATAATTTTTAAATCTGTATTTGACTTTGACTACTTCTGTCAGGTGGTATCTGAATGTGTCTACAATGAGCATTGATTGAGATCTTTAAGAGGAAATCACCTTCACCAAATATTACATTTTGTTCAAGACAGTATTTGAAAGATTGTTTAGTAGTACAAAAGGTTTGTTTTTCTGAAAAGGTACTAATTTTACGGGAGGTAATTTTAGATTTAAAAAATAACCTTTGCCACATACTGGATGGAACAGGTACAGTAATCAAACATTCTACAAAGATTTATGAACAAGAATGTTTATTGAAGCATTATTTTTAAAACAATAACAAAGTAAAATGTCCAGTGATAGAGGGTACCGAAATCACTATGCATCCATCAAGCTGAATACCATATACCTACTAAAATTCTGTGCTAAAAGAATGTCTAATAACTTAAGGAAATGCTCATAAAATAATAGGTGAAAAAAACCTTCTAACAAAATTGTAGGTGCCAATGTGAGGAAAATATATAGATTATTTGTATATTTGCATAGAAAAAGAAAAAAACGGAAAAAAAATCACTGTAATATTTTGGTGACTACTCTTGGATTGTGATATTTGGGATAATTTTGGTTTTCTTCTTACTTTTTTATCCTTTTAAAATTTCTTCTCGGTAAGACTGTGCTAGTTCTATAATCAAAAAGACTTTGTTTTAAAATAAAATGATCCATAAATTATTATTGGTGTTATTTAAATACATCAAAGGCTCTACTTTTCTAAATCTCCATGGTGAATACAATGTTATGATCATAAGTCTATAACGCCACAGTGTGAAGTGTTTATCAAGGACTGGTGGTGTTCCATTCAACTACTGAGCAAACGGATGCACAGTGCCCAGTCTTCCATCTCGGTTTGAATAGATAGAAAGGAGGGACAGAAATAAACAAGAAGACTGAGCCCTGTAGCATTCCTTACTTTATTGCCTTCATTCTGGCTCTTTCTCATGCAGTATGCTTTTGGTCTATCTGCAGTCTTTTTTCGTGGACCACAACAGTCGAGCTACCACTTTCATTGACCCCCGAATCCCTCTTCAGAACGGTCGTCTTCCCAATCACCTGACACATCGACAACACCTCCAGAGGCTCCGGAGCTACAGTGCTGGAGAGGTAACACTCCCACGCCCCCTGCCACATTCACACTTCCACGGGCCCTGCTCAGGTGGGGCCAGAACAGTTTCAGTGGCTGGGATCTAGGATTGCCTGCTCCTCAAGGGGCTGTGCCATATCCACACTGGTCTTTAAAAGAATGAGGAGTCAGGGACACCCACGGAACTCCTTAGACCCATCTTCAGATTACCTTCCTTCTGCCTTCCCTTTTGCCCTAATAATCGCCACTGCTAAAAATCTGTCTAGCTTAAAGGAAATTGAAAATGCAGTGTCCACAGATCCGTACACCATGGCTGGAGCTGTGCTTCCTTAGGCCTGCCAGTCACACGTGAATTCCTAAAAGATCATACAGGGTGTGACTGACATTAAACTTCTGGCTCTTCATAGATCCCGGAGAAGACAGCAATACCATATACATGGACTAAAAACTGGGGGAAATCCACTGGGGACATGAATACTCTCTTCCCATCCTTCCACGTGCTCTTTCCTGGTTTATATCTTTATACACTGCCTAGGGTTAACTTCCACTGAATCGTGAAATCTGCCATCCTTCTTAAACATCATGTGCATTGCCTTTCTGAACTACGATCTCTTTATCCCATACCATTTCCTAACTTCCTTCCTCAAACCAAAACTCCAAACATAGCTCTTTTCTACTTTTAGTCAGTTCCTGGCAATATTATGAGCAAATCCCTTACTGACATTTCCCAAGTATTGGTACCATCCTAGAAACCACCAGGATCTTAGGAGATTATGGCCACTGAGAGCCATTTCTCATAAAACAGCTTGTTGAGTTGGATTACAGTGAGGTAAAAATGAAGTAGTACAGGATAAAAAGAAATGTGTGTGTGTGTGTGTGTGTGTGCACGCATGCGTGCACGCACGCGTGCGCTCCTCCCCACTGCCCCCGAGGGTCATTCCAAGGAGAACTAGGGTGAACATTTCAGGAGAAATGGGGAGAAAAACAATCCGCCTGGCAGCCTCAGATAGCAAACATAAGTCTCAAGGGAAGAGCCTGTTGCTCTTATATTGGTACCAGGTTACTACTTTTTTAGGGGAATCATCTGCATACTCTGACAGGTCTAACTCTTTCCAACCAAGGGCGCTCATGGTTTAAAGCCAGTGTGATAGAACGAATTTTTCTTCCATGGGTCATCTTAGGTATTGTTTTAGGATACTGCTGAAAACATGTTGATTCTTTCTTTCCACATATATGTAAAATGTGTTCATGGCCATGCAGAGAAGAATATTATACATCCCCAAGGGTTATGTGGGTGTCAGGACGCACACATAGCAGACACTCATCAGCAGACACACTTGCCAACTACAAAAAGCAGTGCCCCAACTTCCCAGCTCAACATGCATTATATTCCTCTCTGGTGGCGCTTTCATAACAGTTAAGAAAGTACAGCATTTATGAGATAATAGTGGATAAATTCAAAAATCTGAGTCATTTTTGAAATATGCCCTTTAATTTATTTAAAATGTCAAAGCTCTTTAATATTATGAAGGCAATTTCAGCGCTAGTATAGAGTAACTCCATTTGACAAAAGAAGCTAAGTACTGCAGTCAGGTTCACTGTCAATAAAACAAAAAGGTAGGTTACTCAATGTAAGATGAACCCCTAAAGATATAGATCTCTTACATTTATAAGAAAATAATCTGAAAATACAAGTCTTCTAACATTTCTGTTGAAACGAGATTAAGGTCATGAGTACCACTTGCAATACCTGTTCTGAAACACTTATTTAATATGACTGAATAGCCTAAGCACAGTTACATTGACTTTCAACAGTAATGACAAAGTACCACCTGCATCAGCCAAGAAAAACTGTAACACATAACAATGAAAGGGTATAAATGTGCATCAACCATCTGTATTCTTGCTAATTCATTCACTCTCCAATTGACTCAGTTGATCAGGTTTTTAAACCCCTCCCATCCCTCTGTGCATCCTCTGTCCACTGGTAGCTTTGCGCTGACACAAGGAGAAACCAAGAAAAGCAACAAAGAGAGAAACTGGGAGGCAGAGAATAGCTGACCCAGAGGCAGCATACCAGAGAAAACAGAGACCCAGCCTCTGTGAAAATAAATATCTGGTTCCTCCTGCTGTGAGAGCCCATAGCCTAGGGAATGAGAAGACAGGAGGATCTTGGTATAAAAACAGAAGGAGGGCGTGGTGGGTAATGTTAATTGTGTTTGCTGTGATGTGATTTTGCTCAACAAACACTGATTAAGTGCATGGCTTGCTATGAGCACTGTGGAATGCAAAGAAGTATGAGATATGATCCCTGCCCGGGAGAATTTTATATTCTATGCTTGAAGCCAGGCCAAAAAACACAGAGTTAAGTAACAAGAACAATTAGAATATGATTGAGTGCCAAGAGAGATGTTAGGACAAGTGCCACAGAAGTTCAAAAGAGGCCAAGGAAAGGCATCTTTAAAGTAAGGTACTTGACCTAACCCTAGAAAATTGGTAGAATCTAGCCAGATACAAAGGAAGAGGGAGGGCAACCCCACAGAGAGCCCGCGTGAGCAGAGGTGCAGCGGTAGGATCCAGAAAGGTCAGTAGAGAGACAATGAATAGTTCAGGGTGACCAGAATACTGTTTCCACTTGGGTTTTGTCTTGGTTTTTGTAAAGTTTTGAATATCACATGCTTGGCACTTTCTCATGAGCCCACTGAATGAATCTGAGAGGAATAACATGATAATTTTTTGTGTAAAAGTGGGCTTTAGGGGAGAAGACTACTGGCATTTTGAGGACACTTCTGTAATGTGTAGAATTGTCCCATGCCATTGCAGGACCTTTTTACCTGGTCCCGTCCATTAAATGTCAGGAGCACCCTCACCTCACCAATCACTATGACAACCAAAACAAAAAACAAAACAAAATACCTCTCAGCATTTCCAAATATTCCCATGTGGTAATACCACTTCAGTTAAGAACTGCATTTTATAGTCAGGCAAACTTAAATATCAAAAATTCAGGTCACACAGGGAGTTCAAGACCACAGTTCAGATCTAACTCCCCGTCTGGTGAAAAGTAGTATTTTACGAAGGAGACAGTGATGGCCAAGAAGAGGAAAGAAAAGAGTGATCTGCGAGAGTGGCCCCATTAGTGGCCACTGGAGGTGGCAAAGAGACACAAGACAAAGGCCACCCTGTGGGAAGAAGCCTGCAGAGGTCAAGAGGTGGGAGGAAGGGGTACCTGGGACTTCAATTAGCAGATGGAGTCTCAGCTCCAGCTTCTCTACAGAGGAGGTGTGTGTCGCTACTCCTTCCTTTCCTCTCTGGGGCCTCAGTTCCCTCATCTGCCAGCGGAGCAAGGGAACTCGACTCGACGGCCGGCTCTGTGATTCTCAGTCTGTGAGGCTTGAGGCACATTAACAATGCACAGGCAAAATGAACAGGAAAGCCAGTTGGGGAGGATGGCAGGTTTGCTGTTAGAGAAGTTGAGAATGAGTATGAAAACGGTAGGATATCCAATTTGAAATGACAGTTAAGCAGATGGAAATATGAGACTCAGGAACAATCAATGAATTATTTCCATAATCCATGGTTTTTCTGTGTCACATATCAGGGGCACCGGGTGACTTGCTATAGATGTTTCTTAGATCACGACCTTAGGAATCAATATTTTCTGTTCACCTTCAAGAGCCATTCTCTTGAGTACTGCTCAGCAGTAAATATTTTTATCAATTGCTTTTAAAGACAGAATTGAAATCGATTTCTATATTCAGGATCCTAAATGGTAAAAATTTCCCTCAAAACCCCTATGATAGGTTATTAACAGAGACACTGTCAAATGTCTTTCAGATTTTTTTTACCTCAAGTGAAAATTTTTCAGGCAGTCTGCTGAAAGCAGTTCTCAGTAATATAGTGCTTTATGCATAAAAAGATCATTATTTGATACTTTAACCTGCATTTTAGTACAGTGTCACATCTGTCTGCAATATACAAAAAAAGCATCAACAAAACAGGCCTAACTCTTCACATAATGTCCACATGGAAATGGATACAGATAAATGGAAAGAGCATATAGGGATATAAATATTGGATCCCATCTCTCAGTAAAGAAATCACTGAGGATCACATTTGTCTTGTTTATACTGCAAGTAACAATATAAATTAATCTTAATAAGGAAGGATAACAGAGCACATAATTTTTATTTCTTTTACCACTTTATCTTGGTCAGGTTGGAAAATCAGTAGTCATAGAAAAGTTCTGGAAGGGTACACACAAAAAAGCATAATAGTAATTACCTCAGGAAAGGACAGGAATCTGGTAGAGAAGAGAAACTGACTTTTTATATATATATATAATTTTTTTATTATATTACATTAGTCACCATACATTACATCATTAGTTTTTGATGTAGTGTTCCATGATTCATTGTTTGTGCATAACACCCAGTGCCCCACGCAGAACGTGCCCTCCTTAATACCCATCACCAGGCTAACCCATCCCCCCACCCCCCTCCCCTCTAGAACCCTCAGTTTGTTTCACAGAGTCCATCGTCTCTCATGGTTCGTCTCTCCCTCTGATTTCCCCCCTTCATTTTTCCCTTCCTTCTCCTGATGTCCTCCACGTTATCCCTTACGTTCCATAAATAAGTGAAACCAGATGATAATTGTCTTTCTCTGCTTGACTTATTTCACTTAGCATCATCTCCTCCAGTTCCATCCATGTTGATGCAAATGTTGGGTATTCATCTCTTCTGACGGCTGAATAATATTCCATTGTATATATGGACCACGTCATCTTTATCCATTCATCTGTTGAAGGGCATCTCGGCTCCTTCCACAGTTTGGCTATTGTGGACATTGCTGCTATGAGCATTGGGGTGAATGTGACCCTTCCTTTCACTACATCTGTATCTTTGGGGTTAATATCCAGGAGTTCAATTTCTGGGTCATAGGGTAGCTTTATTTTTAACTTCCTGAGGCACCTCCATACTGTTTTTCAAAGTGGCTGTACCAACTTGCTTTCCCACCAACAGTGTAAGAGGGCTCCCCTTTCTCCACAACCTCTCCAACATTTGTTGTTTCTTGCCTTGTCAATTTTTGCCATTCAAACTGTGTGACTTTTCACTTTAAAAGCAGAGGTCACTCTTGGTCATTCTTTGCAGTGAGCTTTTTGGATGACAAAAGTTATTTCATTGGCTCTGATAACACAGAGAAATCATCATTCAGGAAGCTTGCCTTTAGGGAGGGTAACCTGCACTGCTTCTAAAAATTGGGAATTTTCCTCTTGATTCCATGTAACCTATACTTGATTATAGGTTTGATTGGAAGTTTATAAAATTCAGACACTTAGGAAAATAAACTTTTGAATTATCAAGAGTAAGTAAAGAATGTAGAAAACACAGACACAGATGGGAAAGAAGTTAAAAGACCAATATAATACCCCATCTGGAGACACTTCCTGGTCTACAGAGAAATTAAAAAAAAAAAAAAACTGAATCATGTTGTCTATGGTTCTGTGTTCTACTTTACCAATACCATACCTTGGAGACTGTTCCCATGTCATTAAAATTCTTCTGTATTTTATTTTTTTTAAGATTTTATTTATTTATTTGAGAGAGAGAGAGAAAATGAGAGAGAGAGAGCACTAGACGGAAGAGGGTCAGAGGGAGAAGCAGACTCCCTGCTGAGCAGGGAGCCCGATGCGGGACTCGATCCCAGGAGTCCAGGATCATGACCTGAGCCGAAGGCAGTCGCTTAACCAACTGAGCCACCCAGGCGCCCCAATTCTTCTGTATTTTAATCGTATGGATCTACCATAATTTAACTCAAGCCTTTCTTTGTACATTATGTTTATTATTCACTTTTCACTATTATAAGTATGTTGAACAACTCAAGCATAGATCTCTCTCTTTTGTTTCCTTAACATAATTCTGAAAACTTTGTTAATGATCTGTTTTTAGAATACAAAAGGAATCTAGAGGTGAATGCAAATTCATCACTTGGGCCTTTCCTCTGAACTCACTATTTTTTTTTTTTTATCATCAGGTCTCCAGCGTTTTCAAAGAGAGCATTAGCTGATTATTAACCCAAATTCAGTCTAAAACCTGCAATTTTCAATCACGGCTTTAAAAAACCACCAGTTTACATTTCTAAATTGCAACGCGGGAAGAGAAGCTTGCTTACCAGTCACTGAAAACTATTTTCTGAGCATATCTTTCTCTTTTTTTCTAGAGAGCTTAATGTTTGAAGTTTTCACATTTGCAATTATGATTAAAGCTATCTCAACATCAAAAAGAAGAGAAATCTTAAAAGTAGTCCCTACTGCAAACTGGGTTTTAGCCAGTCATAGAAGAGTCATAGCATGTCTGGGGAGAGGCAGGCCCTTGGGGGGTTCCCTCTTTGTCTCTCTGTCTCACACACACACACCCCTGGGAAACTCAGTAACACAAAAAGTGTCAAATGCGAAGGGAATTTACTGAGTCATGTTATTTTAGTTTTAAATGGAAAATCCATTCTTCCAGTCATTTTCAGTAGTTAGGAAAGCAAACGTTAGCATCATGTTTGCAGTGAGGTCCACATCAGGTCACCTAGCTGATATCAAACATTCCTCAGGATGGACCCTTTAGTACTACTTTAGGGGTACAAGGATCCTAGCACATAGTAAACTCTAGACCAATCTCAGAATCTCCTCCAGCCATGCTTGAAATTATCTCCATCCCTGTAAATTCCTGGCTCCTAGTTGGACAAGGCTGTTTCTATCTAACCTTCCCATCCATCCTCATCTGTAGGCGCTCCGGTACCTCCTTTACCCTCGGCAGGTGTCTCTATGGTGCAGGTACCCCACTTGCCCTAACTTCCCCCTGTGTTGTTTCCTCCATCTCACTCATAGTTGGCCTGAGGCATATTCATCAGTCAGTTGTCTACCTTCAGAGTAGCTGGCCTTCATCTGGTTTCTGAAGTTTTTGAACCTGCCTTAGTTTTGCCAGTGAGCAGGTGACCTCAGAAGTAGGCACCATTTTTCCCCAAAACATATCTGTAACATATGATTTCCCTATGGCAGCCAGGAATAGAAGTGAGCCTCTTCCTGTTTCAAAGTGCTCTTTATTTTGGGGCAACCCACCAACAATGAGACACTTTGGCTCAGGGTGTGACAGCAGGCATCACCGGAGTTCGGTATACAGCCATGCCCTCCTGAGGTCTGTTATCAGATCTACTTCCTCAGTTTCTCTCTGTAATACATCGTTTAGATAATCTTCAATGGAGTGGTCTTTCAGATTCCTGTCTTTACAGCATCAAAAATATTTCAAACACACATTAAAGCAGACGGACGTAATTCCTTCCAAGGAAAAGAGACCTATCATTTCCGCCCCAGAAAGGCTTTACATATTTATTAATTCAAGGAGAAAGAAATGTAGAGACTCAGCGTTGCCTATATTAATAGTCAGCAAACCTTTCTTTCATCACTTTGCATTGTGACCATGCTGTTGCAGAAGTACCAGCTTCTAAATCTTGGTGGCTGGCTACACTAGCAGTACAGAGCTGAGGGCTAATGACATCAAAGTGAGAAGTCCACCACAGCGGCACAGAATCTATTTCCTTGTCCCTCAAATAAGCAGTGGGCAAGGAGAAAGACCAGAAGAGAAAGGATGGGTCTGCCTCTCTACTACTTCAAGAAGAGCAATTCAAAGACTGCCGTATACAGACAGTGAACTGATAGCACATCTCTGCAAAGAAAGGGTTGTTACCCCTGTCTGTGTGGAGGGTGGAAGTAGGACCCAGAGGAAAACCAGCAATTACCATGTCTTTAATGAGTAAGCCCTAAATAATCTGTCCTATTCATCATCTGCACCTATTCATCATCTGCAATATGACACATGGACTAGTCTTTTTTTTTAAGATTTTATTTATTTATTTGAGACAGAGAGAATGAGAGAGAGAGAGAGAGAGAGAGAGCACGGACATGAGGTGGGGAGGGTCAGAGGGAGAAGCCAACTCCCCGCTGAGCAGGAAGCCCGATGCGGGACTCGATCCGGGGACTCCAGGATCATGACCGGAGCCGAAGGCAGTCGCCCAACCGACTGAGCCACCCAGGCGCCCGACACATGGACTAGTCTTAAATGGCCCCTTTGAGATTGACCTGACCTTTCCGGACTTTGTATCATAGGATCTCAATAACTCTCCTGAATTCTGTGGAAGTGAATTGTATACCAGTCTCAGAGGGAGAATTTTCTTTCCTTATTTGTCTGGGTGTTTGAGCACTTTTTAAGTATATTACAAAGTAATCTTCAACGTAATTCTTAAATGTTTTTAAAGCCTATTTTGGCATACTTTACCAAATACCATAGGATGAATCATACTCTACAGCAAGCCCCATATATTTGGTGAATGTACTCCAATGTGGAAATTCTGTAGGGCCTCTGTTTAAATAGCTTACGCTGAAAGGGTCCTTTGAGGAACAAATGTACATGGAATCATGGTAGAAAGCTCACTGCCACGCTCTAGAACTTAGGGAGTTTATTGAAACTTAAAATTGAGCTAAATTAATCATCACAAATATCAGTTTTAAGCTAAGCAAGTTTTGTATTTCATGAAGTTTTGTCAAAATGCCCATCCAAAACTAAGGTATTGGATGCAGGCTAATAGCAGGAGAGGAGTCAACAAATGCTTTGCAGTCAAGCATTGGTTGGTACCCTGGTTCTGTCTCTTACAGTTAAAAATGTTGTAAAAACTTAATTTATCCCAATTCTCAGTTTCCCTGTTTGTAATCTGGAGTTAATAATGCTTATCCTTCAGAATTTTGAGAGAATAAAAAGATACTATGTGAAGAGCAGCCAGCACAGTGAATGGAATAGTAGGCACTAAGCAAAGAATGGCCATCTGAGAGTGATACGCGCCGTTAAAAAGAGCAAGTCCATTCCACATTCAGTGATGAAGTTCAGTGCTACTCTTAGAAATGAAAGTCACAAACTTATCTTTACTACTACTATGAATACTATGATAGTATTCACGTAGAATTTATTTGTCTCTTGAATGTATTTACGAAGAGAAATGTTTCTTAGTCTACTCAGTATATTAATCTGGTTAACATTTATAACATTTAGCACAATCACTTTCTTAAAAACCATCAACCATCCTACTTAGTCTTTAAAAAAAAAAAACTTGCTCATTTCTACTCACTTTAAGGATTGTAACTTCATTCCTTTTGTAACTTAGGTGATATCAGGATCTTTTACCCCTCATATTGAAAAATTAGTATCAAAAGACCATCTGAAATTGATAAGATTTCCAATGCTAACAATTTTATTTTGAAATTAGGCTTCAGAAGTCTCTAGAAACAGAGGAGCCTCTTTACTGGCCAGGCCAGGACACAGCCTAGTAGCTGCTATTCGAAGCCAACATCAACATGAGTCATTGCCGCTAGGTATGTATCATGTTTTGGGGACCCTGGATACCCAATAGTTAGCCTTTTTTTTTTCTTGTCATGAATCTTTTAATAGTCAGGAGTCTGTGTTTTCTTTTTCCTCCCCTATGGTATAATCTACCCCTACCCTTTGCTTCCATCCCCCTTTTGCCACGTTTTCCTTTCCTTTCACTCCTCGATTTGACCTTCCATCTTCCCTCTTTCTTCTCGGCCCTCTTCCAGACCCTCATCCCCTTCTTCTTTATTCCATTCAGTGATTTGTTAGCCAAGTCCAGGAGAGCATAGTTTAAATGAGGTGATGGATCTTGTTGCTGTTAGATGCAGCTTTAAATTTAGAACTCCTTTCCCAGGTGTGCACGGGGATAAGTCAGCACAGTCTTCATTCCTAACCTCAGTTACCTCCTGAGGTACATGCCACTTGTATCAAGGGAAGTGAAGTGAGAAAGCCCAAACGGATGTGGGTGCTTCCATTATCACTACTAGGAAATTAACCTTGGCCAAGGTTGTAAGGGTCAAGTGCTCAGAAAAGGATTTCTTTGAACTCATAAAGAATTTTTTGCCATAAATCTATTGCAAAATGACCAAGAGAAGTCAGAAGGAAGAGAGTACAACTCCCCTCATGGAAGAGCTATTTTATTCTCCTTCGCCTGTTCACACAGGGATGAGTTAACACCCAGTTAAGTTCCTGGAATGTTAAAGATAATTAACTTAGATCTGGTTCACTTTTGGTTTGATCTTTTAAAAATGATAATGCTATTATGTCACAGGAAAAAAAACCCTCAAGAGTTCACATTTTTTTTTTGATGAGTATGCTACCTGCCGTTCAAACTCCTGTGTTAATCCTGGTATCAAGCAGCCATTTTCCAACCACTATAGAAATTATCTCTGGGCTGAAGACTCAACCACAACTTGCACTTTTGTCTGTTTCAGCATATAATGACAAGATTGTGGCATTTCTTCGCCAACCAAACATTTTTGAAATGCTGCAAGAGCGTCAGCCAAGCCTGGCGAGAAACCACGCACTCAGGTAGGGGCTTGTCCCTCACCCTCGAGCTCTAGGTCTCCCCAGCTCGTCTTCCAGGTGGGACAGCACCTCTGTGGAGAGAGAGCAGAAGCCTATGATGTGTTTTGTTTGTGTATTTAAATATGTCTTGAATACTTAAAATGAAGGATCTCTGAAGGGTTGCCAGGTTGCCAGGTTTTATATTATTCATACGATGTTAATATGATTTCTGATTGATTCGGAGGGAAGCACAGAAAAAGTAAAATAGCTTTCATCAAAAAATTCCTTATGTAAAGCACCATATAAATTTTTTTATTCAAGAATAATTAACATTAATTGTTACATTAGTTTCAGGTGGACAATATAGTGATTCAACAATTCGATGCATTACTCAGCGCTCATCAGGATCAGTATACTCTTAATTCCCTCCACCTACCTCACCCATTCCCTCGCCCACCTCCCCTCTGGTAACCATCAGTTTGCTCTCTATTGTTAAGGGTCTGGTTTTTTTTTTTTTTTTCTTTTTTTTTTTCCCTTGCTTGTTTGTTTTGTTTCTTAAATTCTACATATAAGTGAGATCATATGGTATTTGTCTTTCTCTGACTGACCTATTTCATGTAGCATTATACCCTTTAGATCTATCCATGTTGTTGCAAATGGCAAGATTTTATTCTTGTTTATGGCTGAGTAATATTCCATTGCATATATATATATATACCACGTCTTCTTTATCCATTCATCTATGGATGGACACTTGGATTGCTTCCGTATCTTGGCTGTTATATATACACGCTAAATAAACACAAGGGTGCATATATCTTTTTGAATCAGTGTTTTCATTTTCTTTGGGTGAATACCCACTAGTGGAATTATTAGATCATGTAGTAATTCTATTTTTAATTTTTTTAGGAACCTCCATACTGTTTTCCACAGTAGCTGCCCCAGCTTGAATTCCCACCAACACCGCTTGTGGGCTCCTTTTTCTCCACATCCTTGCCAGCATTTGTTGTTTCTTGTGTTTTTGATTTTAGCCATTCTGACAGGTGTGAGGTGATACCTCATTGTGGGTTTGATTTGCATTTCCCTGATGATGAGTGATGTTGAGCATCGTTTCATGTGTCTGTTGGTCATCTGTATGTCTTCTTAGGAAAAATATCTATTCATGTCCCCTGCCCATTTTTAATTGGATTATTTAGAGGGTTTTTGGTGTTGAGTTGTATAAGTTCTTTAACTATTTTGGATATTAGCCCCTTATTGGATATATCATTTGCAAATATCTTCTCCCATTCACTAGATTGTCTTTTGTTGATGGTTTCCTTCACTGTGCAAAGGCTTTTTATTTTGGCGTAGTCCCGATAGTTTATTTTTGCTTTTGTTTCCCTTGCCAAAAGAGACATATCTGTAAAGATGTTCCTACAGCCAATGCCAAAGCAATTCCTGCCTATGTTCTCTTCTAGGAGTTTTATGGTTTTAGGTCTCACATTTAGGTCTTTAATCCATTTTAAATATTTTTATCTTTAAAATATCATTATTTAGTGGTAAACCAACTATTAGATGAACATATTCAAAAATAAACCAACAAGTAAACCAAAGCAGCATGTGTTCTAACTACTTAAATCTTACTGTCCATTAGTGTCATTGTTGAATGAGTGTCTCTGAAACTGAATCACTTCATTTGGAAAGGATAGCCACCCAAAGTGAACTTAAATCCCACTTTCTCCCCAAGATATCCAGGTAACTCTCTGCTTCAGTTGACTACATAGCATTTTGGAAGCTGGCTATACATGATGGTTAAGTGTGTCCCCTTGCAGTTTGAATTCTTGCTTCAGCTCTTAGAGACCATCGACCTGGGCATGTTATTCAGCCCATATATACCCTTGATCTCCTCAGATACAGAGTTACCATGTGGGCACTGTGGAGATGCTTTTATAGGTAGGTGTGTAAAGGATCAGGGAAGGTGGGTGGGAGTGCAGTCACTGACTACCTCTGACTCCTCATCTCCCGTTTGGTGGTCTTTTGAATCTAGCTGACAACTGTAGTACTCTGGTTTGACCTCCTCAGTGAATCACCAACACCTGAAAATAGCCCCTCTGCTATTCAAATTCCTATCACTCCTGTCAGGGTGGATCATTCACTATTCTCCCCACACACACCCACACACCCTCACGGACGCCTCTTTTCCCTGCTTTTTACTCTGTGTGAATTAGAATCACTGTCCTCCCCATTGCCGGATCTCCCCTCTTTCCTCTTTCTCTGCCTCCACATCCAAACACCTGCCTCCTCACTTCGTCTTCCAGCCTTTTTTTTTTTTTTTTCTTCCCTATCATGGCCTGTGTTTGGGTGCTCAGCATTCCTCTCCTGGATTTTGTAGGGATCTCCTAGAAGATGTCCCCTCGATCTAGGACAGAATTACCTTCTTATAGCACAGAATAAATCATCTTACTCCTGGCCTTCAAAAAAGCTTCCCATTGTGTGTAAAATAAAGTTGGGATTTCTAAGCACAGTTTCCATGGTCTCCGAAATCTGGCCCTAACCTAACTCTCCATCCCATGCTAATTTTTTCCTTCTAGGATCTTCCACCTCCACCAGTCTTTGCTCTCTCCTACTTCTTCCCTCTCGGGAATGGCCTTTTCTCTTAAGGACCTCTCAACTCATTTTAAAGGCTCAAAACCAAATGCAAAGATTCACTGACCTAGGCATACTTCAGTGCTTCTCTTGTCTTGCTTTGATAGCATTCCTTTTTTGTCCTTTTAGTGTATTTTTCCATTATCTCTTGAATGCTGTCTGTACTGATGTCTCCCTACGATATGTAAGCTCCTTAGAGCAGGACCCCCTGGTCTTTGCCTTTGTATCACTCTGCCCCTCCGAACCTAGTCCTCTACTTTGAAGATAAGAAACACTAAATACCTTTAGAGTGAATGAAAGAGCTTTAGCATGAACAGATGAGACTTAGCATGAGTGATTGTCACTTCCACTTCTGTTCAACTCTGCCCATTTTATTACGGTGCCACAGAAGGCAATGCCATACTCAGTCATATGGGTCATCTGACTCACAGTATATCATAATTTAAGGGAATTTCCAAAGAATTTTCAGAGGAGTTGTACTATCTGAAAAGTTTCTGAGAGACTGCTGCTCTTGAACATTTTTTATGTTATGATTCTATTAGTAAGTAATGAGTTCACAGCTAATTTTTTGGAGGAATTTAAACTCACCAAAGGCACTAGAGTCTCATTTAAGTCGTTTTAAGAGTGAAAAATGCAATCCCGCGGGTAAAAGAGCGAAAGTAAACTATTTTCAGCGCTATCGCATAGTACCACATGATAACAAAATTCAAGAAACCTTAAAGGCTTTGTTGCAGTGCAGAATTATACAATTACGATTTTCCTGATATGGGGGAACTTGGAATTAAGGCATCTTGGAATTGGAAAAATCTTGGCAATTATTTAGTATAGAAACTAATAGCTTCTTCTTTAAGATTTTGGATTCCTTTAAGGACCTGTAGGCTCCGGATGAAAACCCAAATATCTCATCAAAAGCAGAAGGCCCACAGTAACTAAGAGGCTATGGAATTAAAAAGGGAGAACAAGAGAAAGAAATTGCTCTGCAGGGAGTCAGGCTTACAGGAACCACTACTTGCTGTAACCGGGCCTGTGCTTGCCCCTGGATGGGACGTGAGGGTGAGTCAGCTCCATTTCAAAGGTCCAAAGGTTGAAAAGAGCACCTTCTTTCCCCATGATACTGTTCAGGGGAAGAAATTACTGCTTGCTCCGTGGTCTCCAAGTGAGGCTGTGACCCCTGTTCCACCATTGCTATTCTCAGGGAGCCATGGATTCACTATCCTGGGTCCACAAAGCCAGTTCCCGGGTCAGGGGGCAGAGGGTGAGTCCTCAGAAAACTGTTCAGCAGACAACAGTGAATCCTAAGGAAGCCACATGTGGAAAGGGAAGATGGAGCCAGAAAACCCAGAGGTTAATGACATTTGTTCACTTTAAGGGTCAGGGGTAGCAGCTCTCCTTCATTCATTCTTCCTTCAACTGGTGCTTTTATTGTGCCAGGATTCTGAATCAGAATTGCAGTAGGACTGTGTATGCAGTAGCAAAGCAAAACAGACATTGGCCCTACTTTGCATGGTATTTGCTATCTACTGAGGAAGGCAGATGATAGACAAGTTTGACTTTTTTTTTTTAAAGCCATATATAACTATAGAAGGTGTTAAAGGCCACAAAGGGCAAGATCAGAATTCAGTGATAGTGATAAAAGAGCATCAAGGATTTCATTTGGATAGCAAGTTTTGAAGTCTTGGAGGCCACAAGAGGAGATGTCAAGATGTCAAGGAGGCAGGTGGCTCTACTGAACTGAGCCCTGGGGAGAGTTTTGCACTGGAGTTTTCCTGGTGGGCAGGGGTCTATGTAAGAGAGGCATCTGGCATTCTAGCCTTTAGAGATCTTTCCCAGTTCCAGTACCTTTGGGATTGAGTTCCGGGGGCATTTGGAGGCCCCCAGACCACTGGGTCTGCATGAAATTTTCATACACATGACAGAAAGTGCAACGTCCTGTAGAGAGCCACTGAAAGTCTCAGAAAACTGTGCTTGGCTTTCTGATACACGGATGTGGTTCATGTAAGTGGTGGGATAATAGAACCAGGGCAGGGCAGTGCCACTTTCTGTGGGCACTTTGCTGCCCTAGTGGAGTTGACCCCCTTTGGACTTCATTTCCTCAGGGACACTGGGAACAAAGGGCAATCCCTAGAACGTTCTCCCTGTTTTTTTCTCCAGACAAGGAGACCAGGGGCTTACCCACATATAGGTCCCTTGGGGCAACGGGATGATCTGCCCCAGGGGCACTGTCATTGGGAGAACATAAATTTGAGAGTCCTTTGTGGGGCTGAGTCAGTAAACCAGGGGAGCAGATCCACAAAAGTCTTCCAAATAAAAGGTCTGTGAGGTGCTTTCAGGATTTAGGGCCAAAGCTCAGGAACATGGAATCGAGAACATAGGGACATGAAGGGAGAAACAGGTGGTGGAGGAGGCTGGGCTTCCACATCCTCCCTGCAAAATGATGTGTGGACGGTTCTGCTCCATTTTTCAAACCCCCAGTCAGAGAAGACACTATGAGCACCCCCAGGTTTTGGCAATAGCCTTTACTGCAATGGTACGTTACCTATACTGAGAGGTTGGGTCACGATGCATTTCTCTGTTTAATCTTATTTTGTGTATCTTTTTAGAGGCCACAAAGTTTCCCTCTTAAAAAATACACACCCCAAAAGGTCAAGTTTGTTTTATTCTTGCCCGAAAATGTGCAAGTAATGATGAAGGTTTGGGTTCACATTATTATAATCAGAGAGAGGAAAAATTTGTATCTGCAGTATTTTTATAAATAGATATTTTAAAAAGTCAAACATTGGAGGAAACTGAGTATAGGGTATACTGGATGGCTCTGCATTAATTCCTACAACTACATGTGATTCTAAAACCATCTCATAATAGGGGAGCCTGGGTGGCTCAGTCGCTAAGCGTCTGCCTTCGGCTCAGGTCATGATCCCGGGGTCCTGGGATCGAGCCCCGCATTGGGCTCCCTGCTCAGCAGGAAGCCTGCTTCTCCCTCTCCCACTCCCCCTGCCTGTGTTCCCGCTCTCGCTGTATCTCTCTCTGTCAAATAAATAAATAAAATCTTTAAAAATAATAACAATAAAAACATAAAATAGTCTCAAAATAAAAATTTTAACAAAAAAAGAGTTAAATATTAAAAAACATTAAGTCTTCTCAGATTTCTGTGGCATCTCTTCAAGAAAGGGAGGAAAATTTAACTTCTTTGAAGCCTGCATACGATGGAATGATTCTTGGTTGTGGCATTTATAATATTTGAATGCCAGAGAATCAAAGTACAAAGTTCGTTTGATCAAAATAAATGTTATATTTTTTTTCTAGAGTCATTGGAATAATTTGTCAGGTTGGAGTTGGAGGTCATGAGAGAGATCAGAATGCAAATTATTAATTAAACAGAGAAATTGATGCCTGTGCTCAGACTGACCTGGGACACTCTGGTATTCCAGATGCCAGACCCTTTCTTACCCAGTGTGGCATTATACATTTTCCCCATCAGGCACAAGGTTTCTCAGGCTCTTTCCCCCCCAATGGCTCCCAAGACACCGTGAGCCCACAACAGTCCTCCAGCAGCTCTCCTTACCCAGCTTCACTCCTGACTGTCATAGCTATGGGAGGACCCACCTTTGTTGAGTTCTTCAGCTTCCATCCGTGCGTGCTTCTGAGGATGGATGATCCCTTGTAGAGCATCATGGGAACCTGCCACAGGAACTTAAAATGCCACAAAATTCACTGGACATTAGAACATCGCTAGTCAGCCATATTGGCAGAGAAAAAAATGAGTCAGAATGGGATTTATTCCCCAGCTTATCTGTTGGTAATTCTTATTTATTTCCCACATTATTCTAGGGAGAAAATCCATTACATTCGGACTGAGGGTAATCATGGGCTTGAAAAGTTGTCCTGTGATGCAGATCTAGTCATTTTGCTGAGGTAAGGGGCTAAGCCTGAAACGCTTCTTGGAAAGGCTGCTCTGGGCAGTCTTCCTCCACTACAGCTATGACTGAAACCCTCACCATTTGTTTTAGAGGATTCTACTGGCTACAACTAAAGTAGGGCCCCCACCCTTGGACCTGCTGTCCATCGCCTTCTTTACATTTACAACTGGGGTATCAAGAACTGTGTGTGGCACTTGATGGAGACTCTATTATTTCAGGATTAATTAGGGTTTAAAATAACACTGAGAATTTGTATGCTGGCATGTGCCTGTCTAAGTGAACCAAAGTGCTTTTGTTGCCTTGTGAGAACTGTAACGACTATGACCCCAATTCATGAATATTCTCTCATGGGCAGAAAACTAACTTTTTTTCTCTCTTCTTCTTCCTTCTCCTCTGCTTCTTCTTCTTATTCCTCCTCCTCTTCTTTTTTCCTTACTTTGCAGTCTCTTTGAAGAAGAGATTATGTCCTACGTCCCACTGCAGGCTGCCTTCCACCCTGGGTACAGCTTCTCTCCCCGCTGTTCACCCTGTTCCTCACCTCAGAACTCCCCAGGTAACTTGAGTATCTGGCATTCTGTCTCCTGTAAGCGGCCATCTGTGTTTCCACCAGATGAAGGTGGAACAGAGGCAGTTGTATATATGTCCTCTCTCCCTTCTTCCCTCCCAGTTTTCTGACCGAAAGCACACTGCCAAAATTGGGTGTTGACAAATTGCTGCCTGTTTTTGTTATAATGCATTCTACATTTTTAAATAATTTGAGTTTTTTTTTACAAAAACAGTATTTCATGACACGTGAAAACTATATGAAATGCAAATTTCAGTGTCTGTAAATAGAATTTTATCAGACCCCAGCCAAACCTGTTTATTTATATATTTTCTATAGCAACTTTCACACTACAACAGCAGAGATGAGTAGTAACGATGAGACCGGATGGCTGCAAAAGCTTAAAATATTTACTATCTGGCCCTTCACAGAAAAAGTCTGCTGACCCCTGCTCTAAATTGCTTTTGTATTCCAAGGTACTCTGCAGGCATTTAGAAGGGAAGAGCCCTTTCTGAAACATTCTGCCATATGACTCAGAATGTTATTAGATACCAGTTTTCGTAACTTTTTGCTAAGGTGTAAAGGAATTGCTCGGTGATACGGTTACTAGGGACCACCATAACATTCCCCCATGAAGACGCTGAAGAGTTTTCTTACATGCGCAATTGTTCCCCTAGAGTTTCCTTTGTGTATTAGGATTACTTTACTCATGATACAGAAATTCTTTATACATATTTTCCATTTCAAATAAGGAAATGTCTACTGAACTCTTTAGTGAAAAAAGAAGATACTGCTCCCAGGTTCATCAAAATAACTAGTTTAAGTAAAATCCATACTCCCAAGTGGGACCCAGATATTGGAGAGTTTTTCCTCAGTTGTTTGGTTTATAATACCACCTTGTTCAGAGTCTTGGTGGTAAACTCAAATTCCTTTTTATAACTTTAAAAGTAAAGGGATTTAGTTTTTAAAATCTAGTAGGTACGTAACTGGGTGATAGGAAGTAAGGAGGGCATGTGATCTGATGAGCACTGGGTGTTATACGCAACTAATGAATCATTGAACACTACATCAAAAACTAATGATGTACAAATCTGAAGGGGAAGAAATCAGAGAGGGAGACAAACCATGAGAGACTCTGGACTCCAGGAAGCAAACTGAGGGTTACAGAAGGGAGGAGAGTTGGGGGATGGGATAGCCGGGTGATGGGTATCAAGGAGGGCTCATGATGTGATGAGCACTGGATGTTATACTCAACTAATGAATTGTTGAACACTACATCAAAAACTAATGATGGCTAACTGAACATAATAAAAAAAAACTAATGATGTACTATATATTGGCTAATTGAGCTTAATTTAAAAAAATGAAAGAAAGAAAAAGAAAAAAATAGTAAAATAAAAATCTAGTAGGTTTGTATCTCACAGCCTCTAGAGTCAGAGTCCAAGCGTGGCTTTTGAAGCCACTGGAGAAATTCACAAGAGATACAGAATTTAGTAGTGTGTTCAGTCCCTCAGAAGGGATGTCTCACTCAGCATTACTTGGTACTGCCGCAGGTCTCTAAAACGAGGATCTTAGTTTGGCTCCTCCAAGTCATGTCACTCAGAACTATCTCTTAGAGGTAGTTTTGTTAATTGCTAAAATCTGTTTCTAAGTCAGTCTCCTCATCATCACTTCCTCCAAACCAGTGCACCAAAGGCGTTATTAAGGACATACAACATAATTGAGATGCCCTGACCTGAGAAAAGAAGGTTGAGGAGCTTTGCCCCAGCCAACGTCAGGACAGTCAAATGTTTCCAATGCACACTTTTGGGAAGCAGAGCCTTCCATTTGGGGGCATCTATTGGCCTGCATAATGATCTGTCATTTTGTTGTAGATACTGCCCAGCCTGATAAAGTATCTGTACTTTGGTCCAAACATTTGACAGTAGAGTATGATTTTAACATCATTACATGGGGGAGATATCATATTACAGGTAGAAAAATAAGAGAGAATAAAGAGTTATTTGCTAAATGATAATTACTTGCATAACTTTTATAAAAGGAATCAACTTTCCTAATGAGGCATTACTAATCCCATGAACCCAAACAATCACCCAATTCATTTTAATTCTTAATTCTCCTAGCTCTGACCATGGGGTCCTAGATTACGTAATCCAAATATTTTGATGTTAAATTTTATAATTCCCATTTTTCCAGACCTTCATGAAATTTACCTGGGTACTACAGAGATAGCAAATCATAGATATTTATGCCAAAGTACTTTGTAAAGCATAAATTACTAGAAAAATACACAGTAGTGATCATGGGCATAGTGGTAGTACCAGCAGTAATAAAAGTCATATTGTAAAATATACTGCTTTCTACTGGGCAGAAAATGCTACTCTCCTACAGACTTGTATTCTCGTTCAACCTGTAGCCTGAAACCTAGCATTTCACTGAGGATAGCTCTTTTCAAGTGGCGCCTGTTGGTTCCCTTACACCTCAGGTACAGGGGGGCGCAAAGGTGAGGCTGGTGACCTTCACGCTTCCTTGCTTATACTACTCAGCTGTCTCTCCCAACCACCCCCAAATGCTGTCATCCACCGGCCTTTCTCTGATTCTCAAAGACTGTGGTAACTGTCTCATAGTTTCACTCTCCTTCCCAAGTCCTTCCGTCGTCCTGAATGACTTCAGCATACACAAGGACCCCCATTCATTTCGCTGGCCTCCTGGTTTCTGGAATTTCTGGTCTGCAATGACCTTCCCCCCACTGCAACCACTTGTTCCCATAGTCATCTTTCCCACGCCTGTTGTCATCTCTAAAATCACTGATTCAAGCATCTTACTCCCATCCAACATGCTTGTTCAACTGCTCTCCCCATTACTGTCCTTTGTCCTCATCAGGACCTCTAGTTCATGCATGTCTCTCCTCTCCTTTCTGTTCTTCCCTTATCCAGCATAGATGCCACAGTTCATTTTTTTGGTAACATCTGTGCCAATGGCCTAAACTCCCCAGTCCTCTCCATTTTGTTTGCAGAACTCTGCCCCTAGTTACACATGCTATCTGCTTCCTCTACATCTATGCTCAGGCATTCTTGGGCAAATTCATCTGACAGAGCAGATTACAAATATGTTAGTCATCTCTCACCTCACCTGGACCTTGAACACCCAAAAGAAAACTCTACCACATTTCCTAGGTAAACTTCTGTACTGCTATTTATTTTCTTTCCTTTTCTTTCTTTCTTCCTTTCTTTCTTTCTTTCTTTCTTTCTTTCTTTCTTTCTTTCTTTCTTTCTTTCTTTCTCTCTTTCTTTCTTTTTTAGAGAGAGAAAGAGCGCATACAAGCAGGGGGAGGGGCAGATGGAGAGGGAGAGAGAGAATCTTAAGCAGGCTGTATGCCTAGCATGGAGCCTGACACAGGGCTTGATCTCACAACCCTGGGATCATGACCTGAGCCAAAATCAAGAGTCAGACACTTAACTGACTGAGCCACCCAGGTGCCCCTCCACTGCTATTTCGAATGTTTATGCTCCCCTCAAAACTCTGTGTCTCTCCTAGCAAATGGTGTCCGTTCTCCCTTCACTAAGAAAACTGAAGCCATTAGGTAGACATTTTCTCAAATGCCTGCTACTGATTCTACAAGCCTACCAAGCCTACCAAGCCGACCCCTCCTTCCACTCTACACCAGTGCATTAGAGGAGGTGTCTTCAGTAAGGTCACCATGACCTCCAGACACACAGTCCAGTGAGTAATTCTCACATTTAACATTAAGCCACATGTGACATCACTGACTGCTCTCCCTCCTGAGTCACCCCTTCAGTAAGCTTCTGTGACACTACAGTATGCATTTCAACTACGTCTTTGGCCACTGATGCAGACTCATCCTTCACTTCCTACCATGCCCGAGACTCAGTCCCAGGTTTCTTCTCTTCTCTCTCTCAAACCGTGTCTCTTTCCAATTGAACATTCAAAAGCAGCACCATCAAAAGCCGAGCTCATGCTCTCCCCTACAGATTTGTTCTTCTTCCATTGTACCCCATCTCAATGACTATCACTGCAGTCCCTTCAATTACAAAATCTAAAGCCCACCTCTCCCTCCTTGCCTATGTCCAGTTCATTGCCTCCTAAACACATCTCAGTTTATCCCCTTCTCACCTCCACTGACACCACCCTAGTCCAATTTAAGCTTCCTAAACCCACCCCAGTCCTCTCATTTTTCTCTCTACTGCGGAAAGACTGATGTTTTCATAACTCAAGTGTCATCATGTCAGTCCTCGTGCAATGGCTTCCTATTGTGCTTAGTATTAAACAAAATTGTTTAGCAGAATGGACCTTATCCTGTTTGGTCGTCTACCCACCTCTCAAGCCTTGTTTTGCATCACTCTGATCCTTGTACCCTGTGCTCCAGATAAACTGGAGCACCACTTTCTGTTCTGCTGCAGTACCTTTGCACATGCTGATCCTCTACCTAGATTGCTCTTCTCCCAGCTCATCTCTTGTCTTAGTTAAATGGAAGCCTTACCCAACTAATTCGGTGTAATTCATGCTTACTTATTCTTCAGATATTCCCCAGGGAAGCCTTCCCGAATTTGGCCAGAGTATTCTGTAATATCAAAGGACTGAGTTCCTTTCCTTCATGGGTAGCAATCATCTCAACTTGTAATTATATTCTCCTTCCTGTGAGTTTGTTGGTATCAATCTTCTTTAGAATATTAATTCAATACCTGGAAAATAGTAGTTAGTGAAAGGGTAAGCCATGATTCTGGCCATCTGTAAAACCCGGAGAAGAATGTTATTTTTTCCACTCCTTTTCTCATTAAAATGTATATAAGACTAATAAAGCATTCACAAAGCATTCTAAGTGATACAAAAACTCTCTTCTATAAAATCAACAAGTCATTATTATTATTATTATTATTACAAATGTTTCTTCTATGATGCAAGATAATCTAATGTAAATTCCTCAATGCTCTGGGCCCTACTGGACCCCTATGTTTATTTGAGGGTCAGTATAGTTAGAGAAGTATGACATACACATGTGTTAGTCTGAGTTGCCTCGTTACAATCACATATAACATAAAAACTCATGCAAGAAAAATTTAGACTAGCTTGATTTGTGGATTTAGATTATTTAAGTACAATTAAGCCAGCAAATATGCTCACCAAGGTATTTTTAAGAGAAATACAACTTGAAGTGGCCTGGAAGACAAAAATGTTTATTGTCATCAGAATTCACTTTTCTCTTTATTATGTTATTTCCATTTATTATAAAAGAAACTGAAAGTAATGGAAATCAAGGGAAACTTTTTTGAGAAGAAAAATAAAAAGATATAGGAATGTATCTCTGGTTGGCCCTTCTTCTAACATTGCTCCACATATCAGTGATGACCTTCAGACCATGTGCTTCTCTCTGCAGGCTTACAGAGAGCCAGTGCAAGAGCCCCTTCACCCTACCGGAGAGACTTTGAGGCCAAGCTCCGCAATTTCTACCGAAAACTGGAAGCCAAAGGATTTGGTCAGGGTCCAGGGAAAATTAAGTGAGTGCTCCAGGGCTTGGTCACTGAATTCAGATGCTAGATGTTCCCATCCTTCCCCCGCCCCATGCCTCTGTGATACTTTTTGGAGATTGGATTCCATGGTGTGGTAACAGTCATGTTCATAGAAGGGAGGAAGGTTGAAAAAAAAGAAGTTGGGAAGAAAGAAGAAAGGAAGTTAAATTGGAAGAGAAGCAAGAAGGAAGGAAAGAGAAGAGAAGGAGAGAGATAAAAAAAAACAGATTTCAGACACAGGCATATATAAAATTAATGGTAAACCTTTTCAGAAAACCAAGAATCTTGAACTAAATTACAAAAAAAAAAAAATTGTGTATTTCCTCTTACTTATTCTTGGGACAAATTTAACTCATTAGTCAAATTCATGGATTCTGTAATTTTGTAACTGAGGTCTAAGTGAATAGTTACATTTTTCCCCCTCTGGGTTTATTATTTTCGTCTTTAAAATTTAAATCAGGGGCGCCTGGGTGGCTCAGTCGGTTAGGCGACTGCCTTCAGCTCAGGTCATGATCCTGGGGTCCCTGGATCGAGTCCCGCGTCGGGCTCCCTGCTCGGCGGGGAGTCTGCTTCTCCCTCTGACCCTCCCCCCTCTCATGTGCTCTCTCTCTCTCATTCTCTCTCTCTCAAATAAATAAATAAAATGTTTTTAAAAAATAAATAAATAAATAAAATTTAAGTCTAAACTCAGGAATCCAACTTAGAGAGAGCCTTTGGAATTGATCAAAAGAATCCTAAAAGTAGTCCAATATGATGGAGTGCATCCAACTATAAAAATGTACATGTGCTCCCAGTGTTTTGAAAAGAGCATTAAAATAAATCCATTGCTGAACTCATGGAATCTGCACCTCGTTTGGAGAGGCCAGAGAGTGAGACCATAAGCCCGGGCACTCACAACTCATCTAGAACACTCTCCAACATCAGAGCTCAGAGCCGCTACTCACTGCCCATATGGCTTCTCCCCAGGCTCATCATTCGTCGGGACCATCTGTTGGAGGGAACCTTCAATCAGGTGATGGCCTATTCCCGGAAGGAGCTTCAGCGAAACAAGCTGTACATCACCTTTGTTGGAGAGGAGGGGTGAGGCACCAGCAGTTTTATGCAGACACCTCATTCAATGTGGGCAGGCCAGAGTCAGCAGATCTTGGTGATTTTTCTCAAGAAAGAAGAGGGTGGCTCTTAGCCTTTGCCCCAAGGTGATTCTGATCATGTCCTTCCAGGGGTCTTTCACTCTTCCGGTATTGCCAAGCTTTAGAATTCATGTTCTTCAAAAGCCCAAGATTATTGGCATGTGCTAGAGTCTGAGCTTACACACTTATACCATGCAAAAAATACACTAAACCAAAAATACAGACTTAAGCTATTATATCTTTTTCAGGTGGTGTACACTCCTGAGTATCTGATCAAAAAGCTCCTCCTCCTAGAGTGCACACATATAACTACATAGCAAATTGTTCATAGCCTTTCAGTGATTTTGTAAAAAAAAAACTATCTCAACAGTGGAAGACAAGCCTACCTGGGAGGGCATATCAGAAAAAACTTGGAAGTGTTTTCAATTCACACACATGTACTATCACGGGAAACTCTTTTATGCCTCTCACAGCAAGGTCCTTCTTTCTAATGGGCCAGCTGTATGTTTGATCCAATAGGTGTCATATGATTGAATAAAGGTTAAGAAACACTGCCCTGAGAATTTATTCATGGACATCTAGTAAGAAACATCCCTAAACTGCATCCTCATTTTCTACAGCAAATTATGCTCCCACAGGGATCCACTGTAAGGAACAAAGGCTGTTCTCTGCTTTCCCTGCACTGACTCTGAAAGAACACACCAGCACTTGGATAGAAACAGGCCCCTACCCCCGACATGTAACGAGCTTCCTGGACCTCTGCTTCCTTTGCAGCCTGGACTACAGTGGTCCTTCGAGAGAGTTCTTCTTCCTTTTGTCTCAGGAGCTATTCAACCCTTACTACGGACTCTTTGAGTACTCTGCAAATGATACCTACACAGTGCAGATCAGCCCCATGTCAGCATTTGTGGAAAACCATCTTGAATGGTAAGATCTGGGAGGCTTGCTTTCTTATGCTTGAAACTTCTGGTCTTTCCTAGTCAGAAGTCAGTAGTACTGACTTGAGCAGCACTATTTCTTGTTTAGAGCAGTGGGCCAGATATTAAGAGGGGTAATGAAAGGGAACAACAAAGGCCTAGAAGGAAGATTCTGTTAGTTTTCACCCAGAACATGAAATAAATTACTAGAGACACTGCAAATGTACTATCAATGGCAAATGGATGTAAGATCCAGTAATTGCCTTCTGAGGAAACACTAAGGTAAATAGACCTAGATGAATGTTGCAATTCTTACCAAATGTTGAAAAGTCTACTAAAATTATAAGAGTCTTTGGTGGTATTCATGGGTTTGAAATTTTTTGACTGGGAACCAGCGGCCCTAGCACTGTAGACATCAGCTTCTGCATCTTACTGTGAAGTAAGGCTGCTGAACATCCTCCTGGCTTGAAAATCCATTATCTCTTTGGTTCTTTTATGTGGAGGCATCTATTACCACTTACTGAGATGTGTAAGAAAATAACTATCAGTCCATTGCATGCCATTCTGTGTGTGAGATTCCTCAGATACGGGCATTAGAAGTCTCCAGAAAGTTGCATGGGACATTTAGGATGCCAGGTTTTTCCTGCTGTGGCACCACCACACCTGATTTGAAAATTATTCTTACTCTGACTGTAGGAGCTCCTGCTGTTAAGAGGGAAATGAGTCCTGGAACCTGCTAATGTGGGTTCTTATTTAACATTGCTCATTTATGATGTGTTGTGATGGCTGCTGGGGAAGGGAGCTCCTGGCGTGATCCCAGGCCTCCTGGCTTAGAGCCCAAATGCCTGTATTTTGGTTTATAGCATCAGAATAACCCACCTCTGCTAAGACTTCCAGCTATTGCACATGCCTTCTCTCTCTAAAAACTCTTAGCCTTGAAGTTCTTGAGCTGAGGCAGCAGTGTATCTACATTAAGTGTTTGGCACAAGTGAAGAACCAAAATTTGCCCATTATTGTTCCTTTTCCTGTCATTTATCAATAAGTGGATGCTGAAGTCTATGAGGCAGAAACACAGAGGCAGGAGAGGTAGAGCACATTAAGGGGATTTATGGCCCTGAGAATTAAATGCCGGCTCTGACTTAGGTCGGTCACATCAGGCAGGGTTCGTTCCAACAGTAGAGAGTGCTGTAGCACCCATGACACAAGAGTACGTACATACACAGATTATCCTTAATACGATCTCTCAATTTTCCCTTAGTTTGTGAGCATGACATTTAAGATGGTGTCTTAGAAGTCATGAATTACAATCGGTAATCAATGAAGAAATATTTTCCTCGAATATTATGCCACATATGACCATGCTAAGGTGTTGTGGGGATGCCTTCATTAATTTAGCAGTTAGAAACCAAACACATTCTATGTGCCAGGAAGATACAAAGATGAAATGAGCAAGCTCTTTCCCCCAAGGAGTGGTGGAGTGGTAATGGGAGCAGCACATGAGTAGAGCAAAAACTATGCTACAATGTCTTAAAACCCTGTGTGCGTAAGCCTAGGATGCATATATAAGCCTGAGAATTGTATTAAATCACAAGGAAACTGTCTCACGCCACCCAAGGTAGGGGTTGGTGTGTGGGGAGTGAAGCCAGTGGATCTTACAAAAAGAGGGGATGATTATACCCAGTCTCGGCAGAGAAGGGGAGAGAAGATATGCCCAGGAGCCAAAATGGGAATTAAGAATTGAAAGGCATGAGAGGGAACGGAGCCTTCAGCAAGCAGCATGGACATATCAGAGCAGAGAATGACCTCAGGGTTGTGATGGGAAGTAGGGCTCGGGACAAAAGAGAGAGGCAGATGGTCATACCCTATATGGAGACTACTGTAATTGGATTTGTGGTTTTGAAGAGTAAATCTTGCCATTGCGTGGAGACACGTTTGAGGAGGTAAGACTGGAAAGAGTAAGACCAGCCCTAAAACTGTTGAGAAGTCAAGGGGTTCAAACTCAGGCAGAGGTAGTGTCCAAGGAAGGAAGAGACTGACTTGAGGGGCACCTTGGAGGGAGAAGAGATTGAACTAGTTGGTTGGTTCACTGAAGTAATATAGAGGTGAGGGAGGGAGAGAGGCATAGTGTATGTCCAGAGTGGCCTGGTTGGGTGGACTGATACTATTAGCTGTGATGGGAGTTATGTGAGGTAAACAATATTCAAAGATTTTACTTCTTTACTTACTTATTTGAGAGGGAGAGAGCACAGGAGCAAGAGGGAGAAATAATCTGAAGCAGACTCTACACCAAGTGCAGAGCCCAGCACAGGGCTCGATCTCACCACCACGAGATCCTGACCTGAGCCGAAACCAAGAGTCAGATGCTCAACTGACTGAGCCACCCAGGCGCCCCTAAATGACGTTTAGAGGAAAGACGAGGAGTTCACTCTTTGGCAGGTAGTTTGCAGTTTCTTCAGTAAGGACAGACTGATATATTATGCAAGTAAAACTATGGCCCTGGTTAGCTAGAAAGCAGCCGGGCTAGAAATTGAGATTACACCTGCTGGGGAAGGGGGAGGCAGTCTGGAGAGGTGGAGGCAGAGGGGATGTGTAGGGACCCAGTGTTTTGAAGGAAACCTTGCAGTCAAGCACATTTTAGTGCAAACATGGAGTAAGGCCACAGACAAGGGCCTAATGAGAATCACAAGACTCACTGGACTTGTGGCTTGCTACTTGAGAGTGGCCGCAGTCACTTTCCACTGGGGAGGGTGGCTAGCCCGCTGCCCAGCCCCTGCTCTCGACCTGATTCAGTTGCCTTCTGCTCATCTCTGACACTGAGGGACTGAAGACAGATGTGTCAGTGTGTAAGTTATACTTCATTGCAGTGAGGAAGGAAACTCTTAAACGGGGATGTTGCAAGCATTAGCAGAGTTCTCTGGCTGAAGCCTTTATAAAAATGTCAAAGGCCCAGAAGTACCTACCCTGGAGGTGCTAACTAACCGCTGTCTTTCCAAAGGAAAGGGCATGGAGACTTTCATCTGCTGAGGTTCCCATTCATGTTGAGTATATTTGCTGTGCAGCCTGGAACAACATTGCAGGTAGCTTTCTGAGCAACTGACAATCTCCACAGAGCCCAGGCAGATGAGGGCCCTGTAGTGCTGCACATTGGATGGCGAATTGTCATAAAATGAGCAGGGACTTGCCCTCTGATGCAAGGCTGCAACTCTAAACCTCCAGTCCCCTGCACCCTGGGCTGGTGGAGAGGCAGGGAGGTAGAACCAGCACAGGTGCCAGACTATACAGTGAACCTCACGTGGAGTCTGACTCTTCTTTCATCAGCACTGTAGGGGCCTGGGAGCAGGGAGCAAGTTTCCTTTGGGTGGTCACAGCCGTGGCTGAGAAAACTTGAGTCACCGGGGCACAGCTTGCTTTAGATGGGAAGCCCTGCTGGGCTGTGGGCGTCTCAGTGAGATGGTAATGCTGCGATTATTCCTTCTGGGTATTTTCCTAGGAGCTGTCCTTGTGCCTAGTAGCAAATAGTTTTGCGAAGAAAACGAAGTACCCTCAAATGTTCGGTCAGCTCCTTTGTAGACATTTTAATGAGGGGCACCAAGGAAGGCTCACACCTTGGAGTCACTATGGGCCTTGCACAATGGGTGGGCAACAAGTGGGTCCTGAGGCCCCTGCCTGAGGCTTTGTCCGTGTCACTCCTGCAGCTGGGAGGTTGATGCCGCTGTGGAGTTCATCAGTGAATCCTGAGTTCTCAAATCTCAAAGCAGGTGCCACACCCCCACCAGCAGGATGGGCAGGACTGTGGCTGATCTCAGATCTAGGTGCATGGCTCTCCTTCCTTCCTCACTCCCCAGGACTCTTTATCCCACAATCCACATGGGCTGTCAGGAAGATGATTCTTGCTGTGATCAATACATCACACATAGAGGACCCGTCATGGTCGCAGCCTTGATTTTGTAAAGCTGGAAATTGTCCCTGATGCAGAACAGGCCTGGGTAGGGGTCTGCCTGGAAGGAGGAGTGACTCCCACCTCCTGCCTGCCTTTTTGTTCTACACACCAGAAATAAACAGTGAGAAAACTGGTCAGGTTTACAGGATTCCAGCATCACCCAGGATTGAAACATTGCTCAGGTATGGCTGGAGCAGGCATCCTTGCACTGGTCTTTTTTTTTTTTTTTTTATTCTAGTCTTTATCTTTCACTGGCCTTCTTCTGTGTCCTGTACTGTTTTGTGTGATTCCGCCTGGAAAAGTAAGCTTCATAGGAGCAGGGGTGTAAGATATGCACACCATGAGATTATATGCCCTTGAGAGCATGGGACCGAAAATTGGCACGCTTCCTAGCAGCCAACACAGAAGGAAATGTGATCTTCCTAAGGACTCATAGTACCTATAACATAAAAACAAATCTGTCATTCAGGAGGACTATTAAATCAAAGAGTGAACATTTCAGTTCTTCGGTGGCACTAGCCACACTTCAAGTACTTAACACTCACATGTGGCTAGTGGTTACCATACCGGATCATGGCAACCTAGAACATTTCATTCACTGCAGAAAGTTCTATTGAACAGTGCTGAATGAGTGGACAGGAGAGGCACCACAATTAGTGCTTCCTTTGGGTGGTGAACAAAATGTTCGATTTCTGGGTGGCCAGGGGGTCTAGCCCTGCTATGGGCTGAGGGTTCAGCCTAAATACTTGTCAAAGTTGGGGAGTCTGAGTTGGCTCCTAGAAGGAGCTCTACTCTGCTCAAAGGTGGACGGGAAAAGCTATGCGGAACACTGAGATTTGTTTCTATAAAGCCCTGTCTACAGGGTGGGTGGGGGAAGTGCCCTGCTCCTGTTCAGCATGCTGCTCCCTGGTCTCACAGGCCATGCCCTGAGGTCCTGGCTCTAAGCCCTTCAGACAAGCAAGGTCAGCTCCGCCCCTTCCTGCTTCACCTGCCCGGTAGATGTGGACACTACCAGGAGGGAGGTCCTACCCTCAGCCCTGCAGGTGCAGAGCTCGGGTAGAGTCCCTCCT